AGCCTCGGTTGGAGCGTCACGGCTCCCTGTTTGGGGTCCAAGAGACGGTGAACACGTTTGGCTGGATACACTTGCTGACATGGCAAGGAGCTGACCTCAGTGGCGTTTGTGCTGTGAGTTTCTTTGTCCCTTCTCATCCCTTTTAGCCTCCCCCTCCATCTACGATCTCATTTCGTAGGGTAAAACATAACATTTTTTTCTTTTTGCCTAGTAGCTGGCTGGAAGCTTACCGGAACGATGCCTATCCATTGCTGGTAGCTCAGCTGGCATGCAACTGTTGTATCTATTTTTCCTTTGTGTATTGTATTATATGTATGTATGTATGTATTTCTTGATGCTTCTTCACTGCAGTTGGGCTAAACCAACTTACACTTAAACTAGGTCTTTTTAAGCTGGCTAAATTTCATTCCACTTTATTTGGTTTGTTCTGCCTACCTGAATACTCTTCTATTAACTGGCCACGTTGCTTACATTAATTGCGCTTATCTTCGGTAACTCTGTTGCGTTTTGTAGCATTTTTAACTAACGTGGACATTTTTTCGTTATCTCGGATTTGTTGCTAACCAACTTACTTCATATGCTTATTTAGCTTAGAGTTATGCCACCGTATCTGTATGCATTATTGTATTTGTTTTATTTCATCTTGTCGTTTCAGGTGATTGGCTGTTGCTTGATATCCCCGGTGTGGCTGCGCTTGATGTGCACGTTGACAAGGTGCCTACCTGTCTATTACCCACTACATCGTCCATACGGACTCCAGGAGACAGTTGGTCGTTGCTGGAGTGGACTGGGTGTACGGTCCTTGTGGCCGTGCTAGGCTCGAATAGTGGTTCCATGCACTCAGTGTGGAGCGGACTACGGTCCAGCCACCGCCTTGTGTGCGCTTGATTTCCCAAATACAGCGTGCTTGTGTTTGCCTGTGAAGGAGTGTGGGCCGGCTCCGTTGATGAAACGTGGCTCCCATCCACATGCCTCCCGGTCTTATTCCTTCGGGTTTACACTGGATATGGGGTGTGTGGTTGGAGCTGTGGGTGGTGCAGCGCAAGCCATCCATGGTCCCTCTGTAGGCGCAGGCGTCCTGTGTCTGGCCACAGTGACAGGCAAATCCGAAACCGGATGCCGCCAACCATGTATTTCCTTCATGTATTGCGGCACAATAGCGGAGGTGTTTTCCCACCTCTAGCTGATGTGTGTAATGATGAATGATGATGAACCCTCTACATACAACCTTCCTTCAACTGTCCCCCGAGTGAAACAGTGAGGCATCGGTGATACCTAGACCAACCTGCTGAGGGACAACAGGGATTTCACTTCCACCAACTATATAGCGCGTGGGATGACAAGCACCTCCATTGCGAAGGACAGGACATTTCGCCTGATTTATAGGCATCAACCATAAGCTTGACCAATCGCAGAGCCTATCCAAGGCACTCTGAAGTGCCTCAGAGCCACCAGGGATATCCACAATATACCAGAGCTTGAGGTCGCGTCTGCTGCCCGTCTTCTAATCGGATTGCCTGTTTAAAGTATGTTTGGTGCTGAGTTATCTGCGGGATAATGGCTGATTATGACGCGGGGCAGTGAAAGCCGCAAGGACGCCGATGCCACCTTATCTTTGCACGATAGCCAGCTGTTTGTAAAGGTATGTTGCCTACACAAGGTGTAGGCGCCTTGACCCAGAATGTTTGCTTAGGGCATTATGGTTTTCAGGTAAGTCCCCCTTCTCTCCCTCTTCTTATTCTTTATTTCATAGGTCCTCATGGTTGTATGGCAACGAAGCATCAGTTCAAATGGCTAATGTACTGCTGCTGCTGATGATGATGAGAGCTTGAGGTCATCAGCAAACAATAGCGACGGTACTTCAAGCTCCTGGAGTAGGTCATAGACATAAATTGCGAAAAGCAACAGCCCTAGAACCGAGCCCTGCAGAACGCCAATAAGAACAGCTTGTCTAAGCGAAAGGCTGCGCCCCATGCGTACACACTGTTCTCTCAATTCTAGGAAAGCAGAGCGCCGCTCCAGATATCCCATACGATCTCAACTTCAATGAGAGTCGTTGATGTGGGACAGTATCAAAGGCTTTCAAGAAGCCAACGAAAAGCACGTCCATAGCGTGACCGTTGTCTACTGCCTCAGCCCAACTTTCACAAGCTACAAAGTCAGACATAAAAATCCCTTACGGAATCCGTGCTATGCCGCACTGAGAAGGTTACCCTTACTCAGGTGATTCTCCACCGATTCCCTGACTAATTTTGAAAGTAACTAAACTACTACGCTTGTCAAGCTGACAGACCGGTAGCTCGCGGGCAGAGCTCTGTCACCGCGCTTAAAAATCGGATAGATGATTGCCTCCTTCTATTCCGAAGGTAAGGCACAGCTGTTGAGCGATATTGTAAACATTCATGTCAGAGGGCCACTTAGCTCAGCGGCCAATTCATGCATCAGCTTCGGATGAATTGAATCAGGGCCAGAAGCTTTAGAGGGATTTATGCCTTGCAATAGCCCGAAGACTTGTGCCTCCGTTATGCTAATATCAGTTAGGCAAGAATCCTCTGGGAATTTTGTGACTACCTCAACGTGAGGTAGAGAGGCCTCACGAGAAACTACACCAGTATACTGTTCGCTGAGTAGACAAGCCTTATCATAGTCGGTATGCCCATGGGTCCCGTCCGCACGTAGTGAAGCCGGTATAGACGAGTTTGTACCGTCACGTCCCTTTACGTAAAAAAGGAACTTCAGAGTTGTTACGTCTGTCTCCGCCAAATCCTTCTCGTACATAAGACGAAGAGTTCTAAGATGTTGCTTATTTTTATTTCTAACCACTTGATAGCTTTCGTAGGCGCTGGTTGATGAAGCCGCTTGGAAAGTTCGTCAGCATTTAGAGCGCTTCCTTAGCAGGTATTTACCTGTATGATCTATCCAAGGAGGCTTCACCCGTGTCACCCGTCTCTTAATGAGTTGGACGTGGGGAGTCGAGATCTCGCTGAGGCATGCCTTAAGTTTCTCCCAGGCTGTCTCAACGGTGTCAGCCACGGTGATCGCGCAACGCAGAACTGAAGCCTGGTCTCGCATTGCGTTAATGTCTGCCCGCCAAATATTTGGACATGCCTAAGCTGTAGCTGGATAAGACTTAGTTGGAGCACATCGAAAGGATATGCAGACATGGTCACTGGCTCCTAGAGGACAGTCGTAGGTAACATCACTTACGAAATCGTGTGACTTCGCAAAAATAAGATCCAAGGTAGACGAAAGCTGGTTGCTCATATATCTAGTCGTGAGGTCCACGAACTGATGCAAAGGCAGTTGCAATGTTAGCTCGAGGAGATCCGAACCGAAAGTGCCCACCGCCGAACTGCAATATAGATCAGCCCAGAAGACTTCAGGGAGGTTGAAGTCGCTCAGTAGAAGACACCTACTGGCAGCCTGTACGAATAAATTCATTAACCTCCCTGGAGATACTTCCAGGGCTTCAATATACCAACACAACTGTAAACTGAGCAGAGGAAGTGCACACAAAAAGAAGGAGTGGCCAAGCGATGACTTGGTTAAGAGGACTGAAAACCTTCACTACGAAATTGGCGCCGGTTTGTGTTTCCTCACTGCGGGGCTGGGGTCCGGAGAACGATGCGCACGTTTAGTTGGACAGACTTGCCGATACGGCGAAGATCCGGCCTTAATGGTGTTTGTGTTTTGAGTTTCTTTGTGCATTCCCCTCTTTTGTAGATTTCCTCTCCAATTACGATCTCATTGCAAAAGAATGTGCTATTTAACACCACCTTACTTGCTTTTTGAATTTTTTGTGGCGTGATAGGGTCAATCCAAATAGAAGTATACAGGAAGTCGTATTGTACGGGATAATACATGAAATTTCATAGCTTCATCCCACTCATCCGAAAAAGAACGCTAGTGTGAACACTAATCGATCGGACCTGCAACATCTGCAACCAAGACACCATAAAAGCCGAACTCGAACGAATCAGAAAAATGTTTCTCTAAAATGACTATCCGGAACGATTTATCGAGGCCCATATGAGGCGATGCATACAAAAAGTGCCAATGCAAACCGTCGAAAAGAAATAGTTTTCCTGACTCTTCCGTTCAAAGTAAGTAGTGCGGTTGATCTATGCACGCGTCAACTATAGCAAAGTTGCAGAAGACCTATAATGCGGCTCAGCTGAATGTGGTTTTCACGAGAAGCCCTTTACTAGTTCCGAGATTCAAAGACCGAGTGCCTGATCATTTCTAAACAATGTTAATCTACCGGTTCACCTGCCCGTGTGGGACCGGGTACGTTGGACTTACGACCAGACACTTAGGCAAGAGAATGAAAGAACACCTCACAGGTTTACTTTACGATCGCGAGAATTGGATAACCCACAGCACGATTACGAACCATCTAACCAACATCGGCCACCGGATAAACCAACAAACTGCCTTTCAGATTCTCTGCAGAATACCGCCAAGGCATAACCATCAAGTGAGAGCAAGGCTACTTGCCACCGCTGAGGCAGTATGCATACGCCTGACAAACCCGGACTTGTGTGTCCAGCAGGAGACGGTACAAACACTGCAAATTTCGTGGCCGCCCACCAGACGGGAAGGAAGTGATAACACTCCGTAAATCCACCTGAATTCAGTCATGTGATCAAATGACTGCTGTCATTATCGCAAGTTAACTTTGTGATTACTTGTTTCTTTCTTATGCTGACGACTGCAACCGACCTTACCCTTAATGTATACGCCTGACGAAGAATTAATCGAAAACAATTGTTCGCTTAAAGCTTCGTGTTTTGTTTCTCTTTCTAAACTTGACTTAATAAATGGGCATTCTACAAAGTGTACTTTTTAGTATTTTATCTTTTTAGTATTGTGGCACATTAACTGAGGTGTGTTTCTCACCCCATCTACCATGTATTGATTGATTGGTGTGACAGAGCAGTTGTAGTGCGACGGTGATTGCTCGTTTTCGTTTACTGTTCGGTACGCTCTACTTCTTTGTAGCTCAAATACCTTATCGGTGTTCCCCATCCCTATGTTGGTGTATATGATCAAGGTTTCTTCGTCTCCCCACGATCATCGCGTTCGCTCATCTACCACCAGAATTTAATGAGCTCTAGTGTCTACAACACATGGACAAATCCACGTAAGTTCTTTTCTACTTTCTCCTGATAATCCTTCCACAACGTCAATCACTACTTTATGTTTATGTTTGTAGATGTTTCTCAAAAACCCATAATCGCCATTTATCACACTGGTGATTTTGTTTGATGATCTGCATCGTTATGTATCCCTTTACTTCCATTGTTTCTTACTTTTTACACCAGCACTTGGATGTGTACCAGTTGGTTTCTTGGTCTCTTCAACTTCTTGGAGTCCCTGGTTGCTCATCCGTTTGTAGTCTTGCAAATGTTTTACAATGCTATCGCTTATTTGATCCTAGAGCTGGTCGGAGAAACGTCAAACTCACAGGTTTCAAGCATCGGGTTGATAGACCCACGGGCTTAATAAGTTTCTCCACGGGCCACGATGAGGATATCACCGGGCTTGATGAGGCCATGCGCAGTTTTAGCTCGAAAACAAACTCAATCGGTACACCACCGTCCACTGTAACGGCTGTAAGTTTGGCATCTGTGTTGAATCTTGACACTAGTTGTTCGGTCTACATGTCGCTTTTTGCCGTTTCGGTTTTATCACTCTGTAAATGGAATCAGAAGCTCACTGTGTATGTCTATCATTTATCGTCACTAATCTTCGTTAATCAGATAAAGTGGCGAAGATTTTGTTTGTCTGTTTAATAAATACTTCAGTTATTTAAAGGACATCTATTAGGATTGTGTCTACAGCATAACCAGAATTTATCTGAAATACTCCTACGAAACCCCAAATATTAGCTGTCGCACGGACGTGGAATAGGGATTTGTCTATATCTTTGGTGGATGGCGAATGCATATGAAATGGAGAGCAGTTCTATTAAAAGCATGCACGTAATTTTCCGTATCGTCTGGCATCCAGATCCGAGAAGTTCTTATGTGTACGGGAAGAAAACTGAGAAAATGGTCCGTTTTAAGGTTTAACCAAGCCTCTGGTATACCGATCCAATCGGGTTGATGTCAAATAAGGTCGCCTGAATCCATCTAGGATGTCGAAGTAATGACCTCTACTGTTAACGAAATTCGTGTCCGTTGGCTCTAACGAAGATGAACTGAGGTTTTTATCCCAATTTCATACCTCCTTGGTTACGAAATGATAGTGTCCATGTGCCGATGACTTTACTAGCCACTTCTCGGCACTAGCATCAAGATATTTTGTTATGCAACTGTCGTCTGTCGATCTTCGTTATAGCATCTTAGTAGTTTAAATGGCGTCTTTATGCTATCGTCAACTGTTCGTGCTTTTGCATTATATAGGCGCCAGGCTACTGGATGTCTTCTTAAGATGCAAGATCTTTTCGTCAGGTCCCCCTTACTTTTCGTCCATAATTTTTGTCATTGGGACTCCTTTCGTTGTACAACGGTTAATCCTTAATGCAAAATACTGATATCCCAATGTAATTTCTTTGGCTAGCACTTTTTGTTTGGCCCACCCCTTGAAATGGCGGGATGTTGACTTGTCTGTCATAGCATGTACAACGCGGCAGTGCAGTTAGTGTTGCGTTCGTCCCGGCGGTGTGCCCATTACCTTATATATATTGTTGGCGGCATCCGGTTTCGGATTTGCCTGTCACTCTGGCCAGACACAGGACGTCTGCGCCTACAGAGGGACCATGGATGGCTTGCGCTGCACCACCCACAGCTCCATCCACACACCCCATATGCAGTGTAAACCCGGAGGAATAAGACCGGGAGGTATGCGGATGGGAACCACGTTTCATCAACGGAGCCGGCCCACACTCCTTCACAGGCAAACACAAGCACGCTGTATTTGGTAAATCAAGCGCACACAAGGCGGTGGCTGAACCATAGTCCGCTCCACACTGAGTGCATGGAACCACTCTTCGAGCTTAGCATGGCCACAAGGATCGTGCACCCCGTTCCATCCAGCAACGACCAACTGTCTCCTGGAGCCAGCATGGACGAGGTAGTGGGTAATAGACAGGTAGGCACCTTGTCAACATGCACATCAAGCGCAGCCACACCGGGGATATCAAACAACAGCCAATCACTTGAGAGAGAAAGAGAGAAAGAAAAAAGAGAAAAACTCGATTAATGCATAAGGAAACGGTGACATAAACCTTAATTTATTGAGCATATGTAATAAGTTGTTTACAAACAAATCCTAGCTAAGTGCACGAGGTCAGAAAGTATAGTTCACGGAATGCCACGAACACAAATATGCTACGGAAATCGAATACAATTGGCTTAAGCGAGGTGTGCAAGTTAATCAAATAGAGTACACGTAGATATTTATACGAGAAAGAAAAACATTAAGGCAAAATTGAAAACCCACCACCTGAAATAAAGAGACTTAGCATGCAAGCACGCGGTTAGTAAATCGAATTCAGCGCGCCTACAAACGCTGCGCCGGCTCGGCGTACTTCTCTGCAGGACCCGTCGTCACTTCTGTAGTGGTGCCGAGTGGCTTAGCTCATGGCCCACACCTGAAATATATATATATATATATATATATATATATATATATATATATATATGTATATGTATATATAGTACCGACGGTCCGCTGCCGCGTATCCACCACCAGTCGCGCGTGGGCTTAGGATACTGCGAGGGTCGCCCGGTCCATACACTGGCTCGAACCCACCCCTCTGCTTATAAGTCAAGCTTGCGATCCCTAAGGCTACTGGTTGGCTACAGTGCTTCTGATACTTTCAAAAAATGCAGTTTACCTCTATACGATTAGCAAGTAATAAAACAAAGGCATGATCTAACCAATAGTGTATCTCAAATCTGACAGAAATTCTCGCGGATCTTGCACATAGCATGATGCGGTATGATTGTTGAAGTGCAAGATTGGTGGGGGGGGGGGAGATGTAGCCGTATCACTCAAAAGCTAACCTACTATTCCATGCGTCATTCGCAATTACTACCCGATTTGATCAGGACATTACGTGTGACATTCATTGGCTAGTTTACGACTACCACATGCTACAACAAATATCCTTCGTGCACTTCTCAGGCGAAAATTTATATTTTAATTTTAATGTAGGCTCTCCTAGTTCCAAATGCTAGTGCGTCTAGTGAGAGGAACTCATGACCTTCGGAGGCTATCCACTGACATCTGCTAAGGTAGTAACCTTCGTGGCACTGGAAGATAGATCATGCTATATCCCAACTAGCTTGCAAGTTATGTAGGCCAGCCGACGTCCCCCATGGCTCAGTGATTTAAGCTACTGGCTAGTTGGCATTTGCCTTAGCGTTCACGGGTTTGATCCCTAGTAAGGGACCGAAGGAATACGCACCACTGACGAGCCCCAATAGGGCGAAGGACGTCTGATGCTTTTCAGGACTAGGCTGTGCTATGTAGCTTGTGAGCTGCTAGGACGAAAAGCTTAAAATTGCAATTAAAATCCTCCTACTCATTGGAAAATTTATATTTTTAAGCCGGACTTTGTACCCTATAGTCAGAATGAATCTAAATTGATATGGTCGGAAATTAACATATCTCCTCAAGGGGACACATGGGCACTTGACAGCAAGTACAACCGATATAGTGGACGCGGATCAACTGTAGAGTGGACTTGTAGGAAAGAGATTGTGCGTTGCATGCGAAGAACTACGCGTTTCATCTCATATTGGAACAGTGGCTGTAAGCAAATACGCCACTTAGGCTTTTGAAAAGTACAGTCCTCAACGCATTACAGTGATTTGTCTAGAGGCAAAGGCAGCATGGACTGATCTGCAACGAGTCCGTGTGCATTTTACCTACTGTCACCTACGTAGCAGTGCCAGATACGTCTGGTCTGAAGATATTGGGGTCCGTAACCTACGTTCACTTTCAAATGCTAATCTATTATGCCCTGTAAACCAAAGTAAATTTGTTCCAGTTCCCAGAAACCACTGTACCATCGGAGCCATCATAATTATCATCAATAAACATTAGCCGAGGATGAGATACACACCTGAACTAATGTGCCGCAATACAAAAACATAATAGCTTGAACCCTATAGACTACAAAAGTTAGACAGTAACAATGCTAACCTCACACTATGTATCTGGTTTGAGAGCGTTCTTGGAGCGGGAGGCTAAAAGAGATGGAAAAGACAAAGGGACTCACAACACCCAAGCCACTGAGGTCGGCTCATCGCCATGTCAGCTAGGGTACTCAACCCGACGTGTTCGTCATCTTACGGACTTCAGCTCGGCAGTCGCAAAATACCAACCGACGCCAACTTCGAAATGAAGTCATCGCTTGGTCTCTCCTCCTCTTCTTCCATCCAGACCTCGGGCGCGCAAACAACGCACAACGCGGGAGTCGGTGTGCTGGCATGATCATGACATGGCTCAGCCATCCGAGTCTGGTGCGTGATATAACGGTGCTGAGCCCTTTACTTGCTTTTCCTGCACCAACTGTGAGACGCCGAACACACTTATTGCTCACGCGGTGTTCCCACAAGATACGAGCTTAACTGCGAAGTAGAGATGATCGAACGCAATAATCCTATTTACGTGTCTCGACTTGATGCGCCAGGTTTCGCAGCCGAACAGGAGGGTTGAACCCACGGCTGCATTGTGATTTCTGCCATTCAGAGCGAGAGGGATCACATCGGCGGCACGGCTGGCAGAGATTCTCAAAAGCGTCTCGAGATTTCGCTACACAGTTCGTGACCTCATCTTCAATCGCCAGGAACGCTAATATGGCTGCTTACATACTTAAATTTCTCGACGACTTCTAGCAGATCATCGCTAAGGGTCAACACAAGTGTGGGTTCCTGCCAATATTGACGAAAGACTTTGCGCTTTCACGGCACAAAGCATAGCGCAAAACGACTGACAGCCAAAACTAGTTTATCCAATGCCATTTAGCACATTCGGGACCTGTCACAAATGTGCGCAATGTCGTCAGCATACTCCAAGTCAAGAAGTCGGACACGTGGGAGCAGACCCACACCTTCTAAGTCGTGCCCGGCGAACGCCGTTTCCATGACTTCGTCAGTGGCGAAGAGGAAAAGTGACAGCGGGCAACCTTATTTCACATCACTGGAGATATTGAACAGCGGCGACAGTTTGCCGCAAACCCTCACTGTGCCTGAAGTATGCGCATACAGCACTCTTATGGCAGTTACTTATTTCCCTGACGCACCTTTCCTCAGTAGGTAGTACAGGCACATCGGTCAACCGAATCAAAGGCCATTTTGATGTATGGGAACCCGACTACGTTGCGTCGCCAATAGACTTGGCGCTGCTCCAACATCTGACGTAATCTAAAGATGTGGTCAATTCAGCCTAGATTTCTGCGAAACCCGGCCTTCGCGCGAATCTGGCTTTCACGGGTGCCTGACTATGGAGAACGACAGAACGAACTTAGAGGCAATTAAGATCAGACTGATTCTTTTATTACTGCCGTACTCCGAACGGGAGTCTCCTTTGAAAATTAGGACTATAACGGAGCGGCTACAGTCTATTGGGACAGACTTCTGCTCCGACAGATTCGCTAGTA